AGGACGATGGCTTTTCAGGTTACTATCAGTTTAATTTTTGAAAATCCATTTTTCACATGTGAAGATTTGGAGTGGTGTTTGGTGGGTTCAAAGGAAAAGCTGCACAAACCTTTCTAAAATGAATTCTAAAATATTTAGCACCTTGTGGAGATAAGGTTGTATAAATTGTTATATTTTAGGCAGTGAAGTAGTATTAAGTTTACCAGCCTGCCTGCTGTAATTCTCATTTGTCAGCTTGGACTAAGTGCTAATAGCTATTTGCAACAAAATGACACTCTTGTGACATACTTGCCTGTCAGATTAATAACTCAATAAAACCAGTAAGTGAGCTGCCAGTGAATGAAAGGAAGAAAGAGGTGGAATGCTTTGTGAAGACATGATGGTCTTTTGCAACTACCGGTACTTTTTTAATTTAAACATTAAATCTGAAAGCCCTATGTGAAGCCCTCCAGCATGGTACAGTATGTTCTTTAGGTTTTCATTCCAGCCTCTTCTTTGTGTTTATTAGGTTTCTGAAAGTTGGAAAATGAACATCCCACAGATTATTCTGTCTTTCTGGAATCTCTCATGATCAAGGGTAATGGGGGCTCACATACAGTATATTATAAAATAGCTATTATTTATAGTGAAAACCCTATAATCATTCTCAGTGTTCTGTACTGAAGTTCTCAGGGCAAATATACCATTCCCAGCCCCTCTTCACAGCTGCCTTTCATCTCCACCAGAGCTGTCATCTCCTTCACTAATTTTCATTGTCTTCTTGAAGAGAATGAGACCCTTTCCACTCCACCTAGCCCTATGCAGGAGACCACTGTTCTGTTCTTGGCTCTACCACTGACTAGCTGGGTGAGCTTGGATCTCTCTTTCCCCTTTCTTTTCAGCTCTTTGAGGTAGGGGCTGTCTCTTACTATGTCTTTATACAGTGTCTAACACAGTGGGAGTCCCCACCAAGAGAGAGCCCCCCTCAAGTATAAAGCAGAGTAACGGTTTTAAGAGTGACCATTTACTTCATTGGGACTTGCATTTTCTTTTATATTCACTAATCCTTAAGGAACACATCTTAATTGTACTTTTCTATCATTGTTTGCAATATGACCCTAGTGTCCTATTTTCCCTCGTAAAATAATAAGAATTACATGTATTCCATATGCTTCAAGACACACTTGTGTTGTTTTGGGGTTCTTTGTATTCTTCTTAATATTTTACATAGTGAGCCCAAGGTTTGGTACCTACATTATTTAAACATCTAAACAGGTGGCCCAATTTTTCAAAAGTGCTGAGAATCCAGCAGTTCCTAGTAATTTTAATGGGAGCTGCTGGTATTCAATCCTACAGAGCTATTGCATTTGGATGTGCTACAGCAGACTGCTGTTAATTATGACTAGTTTAGCATTCATCATAATCACGGTACTCAGGGCAAATCCTCAACTGGTGTAAATTGTCATAGCACCATTGACTTCAATGAGCAGTTGAGATTGGCCCGTCAGCCTATTGTGGCTCAGAAAATAGAGAATATTTTTGTCTTCTTGCACCTTTAAAATGCTGGCAGTGCTTAGAGAGGGAAGAATGGGGACACTTCTTGTCTCACCCACTCCACCTACCCTACTTCCTCATTTAATACTACTGAAAAGTTGTATAAAAGGACCTGTTTAATAATCCTGCCATGTACATTGTAGGGATGAAAATAGTTTTCTTGGCTTTCAGGCCTGCAACCTATTTCAGGGATTGGGTTGGTAAGAGAAAAAAAGAAAAAGTTTGAGTGAAGGAAGCTATCTTATTCCTTTTTTTTTTTAATTGGATTTTTTTTTTAATTCCAAAAGTACTTTAAAATTAGTTTTAAACACTTTTAAAAAAGAATGCCGGAAATAATAGCTTTCATTTGAAGTTTTTTTCATTTATAGTAAAATTTTCTGCCCATTGGAAAAAATAATTGGAAACTATATTTTATCATTAAAAAGTGCATGTAGCCCAATGCTATCTAAAATAACTAATAACAGTCACCAAAGCTAATAATTCCCTAAAGTTTAAGAACCTGGGAACAGTATTCTGTGGAAAAACATAACTTTGTCAACACTAGACACTGACAGTAAATGAGCTAATGTAGTTTACTCAGGAGAATTTTGGAAATATAAATTGAAGGAAGCAGTCGAGTAGAACAAGGTTAAAGAGGTGAGAAACCAGCTGAAGGCAGAGTTGTTTACAAGTTGGAAAGATGTTCTTGTGGTTAACTCTCAAAACCTGGATTCTGTTCCTGGATTTGCTATGGAATTGCTGTGTGACTTTGACCAAGCCACTGTTTCTTTCCTATGTTGTTATAATGCACTGCCGGCCATAGTATCATATCTACTGATATGTGCCACATGCAAAAATGAATGTGGCTATGTTTCTGTCCAGGTGGACAGAATTTTGCACTGCTCCATTTTCTTAAGTGGGATTATCATGTTGATGTTGCTGTCCTTAGTTTCTGCATCTGTACAATAGGGATAAGACCAACCTATATCTTCTCCTGGGGGAATTCTGCACCAAAACATTAAAAATTCTGTGCACAATATTTTAAAATACTGTATATTTCATCTGCCAAAATAATACAATATAATTATTCCAGTTTCAATTATTTTGGTGATTTATTTCAAAATACCTGTCAGCAACTATGACTGTAACAATACAGACAACAAAAAAGATTCAGGAAATATTTTTTTGACAAATAGATTCTGTACTAGGCATATTAATACAGAACTTTGAGTAATAATTCATTTAAACTACAATACAGAAATATGTTTCCAGTACCCCTCAGAAGCAGTGCAAAGGCTTAGGGGAGATGGGATAATGGAGGAGCTGAGGGAGAGGGAAGTACCGTAATTGCTGGGAAAGAGCCTGGGTGTGAACTTGGAAGTTGTTGGGTGTAGGTGAGAGAAGTATGGATCACGGGTATTTTGGGGCATGGAGGGATTGTTAGGGAGCCTCCACCATGCAGACCTTGGCTGCACACTAGCCCGTCTTATTCAGTCAGGCACATCAGCCCGTGTTCCCATGTGTCAATTTTAGTTATTTTTGTATACAATAGAACTGTAGTAAAAAATCTAGATTAAACCAGACCTAATTTAAAGTGTCCCAATCCATACATCATACAGGAAAATACACTTTTTAGCTTGTTGTGAAGTTGGCAAACACTCAAGGCCTAGCTTTCAGAAGTGCTGAGCACCTACAAACTCCTGTTGAAGTCCAGGGGAACTGTGCGTGCTCAGGACCTCTGAAATTAAGGCCAAATGTTTACTATATGAGGGGAGGAAAGAATGGCTTTGTGGTTAACGCACATGACTTGGAGCCAAAAAATCTGGCCTCTGTTCCCATGTCGCTAATGACTATCTATGTACCATTAAATAAGTCTCTATGTCTCAGTTTTCATAGCTATAAAATGAGGGTAACTATATTTCCTTACCTCACATCATGTGTTGGGAAGGTTCCTGAATGTTTGCAAAGCACCTTGAAATTCAAAGGCGTTGAAGTGTTACTTACTGCTCTCTTGTTTTCTGAAGAAACTTATCTGACAGTTAAGAACTCTATTTTATTCTTATCAGCTTGCCTGTCTCTGACATAACTATCTATTATTTCCCCTTCTTCCATTTTTGTCTTTGTGCTTTTTTTCCATATGGCTTTCCCATGTCTGGGACCAGCTACCTGACTTGATCCACCAAGCGTTCACTATTCTTCTGAGGGTCTCTCCCTAATACCCCTTCTTAATATTTATTATTTGTTTTGTTATTTTTATAGTGCCCAAAGGTGTACTAGGTTTCTCACAGAAACGAATAAAAAGACATGGTCCTGTCATAGGGAACTTACAGTTAGATATCATGTGACCAGTGAGGGTAACAAACAGGAGGGGATAGGATGAGAAAGAACATTGCTTCAGCAATATGATCACACAGTGACTCTATTTAGACATGAGCACCTAGAGACCTCAAGCAAGGTAAAGGCCCCGTTGTGTTAGGCCCAATAGTTTGGCACCCTTGCCCCAACAATTTTACAATCTAGATAAATTACACCTATACATTTTAGTCCACTGACCAAAAATTGTGTAGTTCTTCCCAGTGCCCACAAGAAGTCCATCAGTTATCACAGTTATCTAAACCATCAAGGTGTGCTCGTGCCTAAACTGAGTCATTGTGTGATCATATAGCTGAAGCAATGTCCTTTTTCATCCAATCCCCTCCTGTTTGTTATCTGCACTCATCACGTCAGATCTAAGTGTAAGTTCCCTATGACAGGAGCATGTCTTTCAATTTGTTTTTGTGAAGAACCTAGCACTCCTTTGGGCACTATAAAAATTATAATAACTAATAAATTTATGCTGCATGGCCCCATTGACTTCAATGGGCTTTGGATCAGACCCTGTGTTTGTTATTTATTTTGTCCACAGAGTGCACAACCCTACACTATTGAAGTCAATGAGAGCTTTGCCATTGACTTCAATGGCCGCAGGATTGGGCCTGTAAGGTGTAAGGCTCATATCCTCTAAAGTATTTAGGTGCCTAACTTAACTCTCAGAATGGGAGTTAAATTTGAAGATCTGGGCCTACATTCCTTTAGGGCTTGGTACACTGTTGGTATTCAACAAATAATAGTGAATGACAACATCCCAGATATTGACAGCTAGCTACTCAATATTTTCTGGATTTAAACAAGATATTGTGTGGGCCAGAGGGAATTTGGTTGAAACAACATATTTCTAAGATTAAAAGGAAGACAAATATATTTTAGAACTGTGTATTAGGTGATCTATGTACACTCAAATTTCTGCAGCATCAGCTGTACATGACTGATTTTGTGCAAGGTAACAGGGTAGTTAGCTTATCTGAATGAAACACTTGAGACTTGGTTACATAAGGATTTCTTTGTGGCCAGTATTCCTCAGTAATAATATTAGCCAAAGGGGGAAAGCTTGTTTGAGAGCAATCATTCATGCTGGTTAGGGTGGATTTTGCTGTTTCCATTCTCCTTACCTAACGGTACCGTCGGCCAGCCAACCTCTGGTGCATGCAGCAAAAGAACAGTCCACTACAGCCCGTCTCAATTCCTCTGCAGTGGCTAAGCGAGCGCCCAGGTCAGTACACAATTTCTGAGCTGCGGTTAGGTCCAGATCCTGAGAGCTGTTTCTGGATTCAACTGTGAACAACTTCCCTGCAGCACACAACAAAACGTGTCACATGTCACAGTGTTGTATTAAATAAATACACAAATATATTGTGGATTGTGACAAACCTATCAACTGAAAAATTAAACTTATTTTCTTTTATGATCTCAGTTTAATTTTAACTGAGCTCCTTGATCTTGGGAGCTAGTAACTTAAGCCTAGATCTTCAAAGATATTTAAGTGCCTCATTTCTATTGAAATCAATGGGAATTGGGCATCCAAACGCCTTTAAGGATCTGTCCTTGCTTCTGGCCTATACCACTAGTAGTAAATTACTACTCCTGTATACAAGCATGTGCATGCACACACACACACACACACACACACATATGTTTAGCTATGTGATTTAGCTCCTTTGGTCAGTAATTAGAGAAGTGGGGCTAAGTTTCCATATATTTCTGACCCAGGTGAGTGGCTCCCCTTACTCCTACAGGCCTGGATCCAAAGTCTGTATAGCTCTTGGAGCGTAAATAGGGGTTCTTACTCCCTCATATGGGTGTATAGTGAGAGTCAGAATCTATCCCGTAGGAACTGGTAATGCATGTCTTACACTTAATTTATAAAATCAATCAAATTTATAAAATAACAAATACCAGTTTAAAAAGCTAGCAATGTAACTTGCTCTTCCATATCAGCAACAAATTAATTCCCAGTCTCTACTAGGAAAGGAAAGGCTTCATATACTTTGCAATAATACGGACCGAAATTCTGCCGCAAATCACCATGGTTTTCATATCATACTGGAGCTGCAGACTGGAAAATATGCAGCACTTTCAAGTAAATTTTTAAAAAGTGGAAGGTTTTTATTTAATGAAATATGAAAATGACTAAAAGAATCAGCAGAGTATTCCTTATTGTTTGATTTTGTTTTAAACTCAGTTTATTTTACCCTGACTTTAAATTTTCAATGAACTGCAGATTTTTGTTCTTACAACGCATTCCTGCATTGTGGACTTTATCGGGGTAGAAGCTGGAGGTTTTAGCAGCTGGGCAGAGGGCAGGTAGGATTTTGCATCAAAGGCAGCCTAGGACATGATTGATTTATAGAATAAGCATATTTGCTAGATGATTCCGCAAAAAATTATAAGCAGCAAAATAATTAACAATGTTGACATTTACATTTTCATAATTCGTTTTTCAAGTTAACACCCCACTGAGCTAACGCAAGTCTCAGAGCATTTGTTTTTGGATGTCTGCAGACCCAGGAAGACAGCAGTACATCAGATTACAACAGTTTATGTCAGGAAGGGCTTCTTTGTTATCATAAATAACATTTTATTTAAATAAAATCTTAGATTCTGCAGCACAATTCGACAGCAATTGGGGCATTAGGTAGCAAATTCCCTCATCCCAGATTACATGGGCCCTGACTAAACTAGCTCAGAAACCCTTCAGGCGATCCATCCTACATTGTATGCCAGGCCCATCACCTTCCTCAAGCACTTCTGGCTTTAGCAAACAGATAACCCCCACCTTTGATCTAACTAAACTTTGGCTCTAGCAGACTGCTGGAGGGAATAACTTCCAGAGATGTGGCCCTATGACTGACAACATCCTGCCAACAGCAGCAGAGATTTTAACCCCAGTAATTGACAATGAGATCAATCAAGAGGATCACTATTCCTGCAATGAGAAATGTTGAGTGATGTTTCAGGTAACACACAGAGACCCCAATCAAAGATTAGGTCTCTAATGTGGTAGGCACTGTATATACACCTTGAATTCCCATCCGAAATGAGCTGGAGCCACTGCAGAGCAGAGAAGGCAACAAGACTCTACATTTTCTACTACTGAAACTTCTGAATACTTTTCAAAGGCAACAAATAGAATGCATGGCAGTAATGTAGCCTGATGATCAGAAATATGCAGATGACTGTGTCAAGGTCTTCAGCAGAGGAGATGTTGGCAGACCTGGGACCAACTATAGCCTGAAAAAAAGGTGCCACAACTGCCACCTAAAAATCTAGGAGTGATAATGTATCCAGTGAGACCCCCAAAGGAAAGAAGAGCATGTTTTCACCACCACCATTTGGGATCTCTCCAACAGGGAATTTGTCTACATTACTAAGCCATCACACAGGTCAGCACAGTTGAAGGTCTCTGTTCAGGACTGAAGTGCACCAGCAGAGTTGTCTGGGGCAACCATATGCAACATCTGACTTGAGCAGTATATGTTAGTCCTTCACCTTACTAAGCACTACTTTCATCCACAAACATTTTAATTAAAAGAATGTAAGAGAAAACTAAGTTGGTAAGTGATCAAGCTCCATCAAAATGTAATCTGAGGCAGTGCAGCTCATCATTAATTTTTTTACCAGCAGTCCATATCAACTGCAGCTTTGCAGGATTGCACCAAAGCTTGTTTCCTTTTCCAGCCAACCAAGACTGAGAGCTAAGGGACAACTTTCCTTATTTATTGTTAGTGTGCAGGTAATTATGGCAAATCAAGCACTGCTCTTCAATGAGGCTTTATTGAAAATTCAGAAGATTCCGACAACCTATTTAGTTGGGTTTTTTTAAAATATAGTACAGACCTACCTGTCTGAAAGGTTTTGTGGATGTACAAAATATTTGGATAAATAGATTTATGGGGAACACGAGACTGATCCAGTGTGTTGGGAAAAGTTACTAGGAAGTTTTGGTTAGGTGAGGTACAAATAAACAAGACTGACCTGGATACCAGATTGACCTATATACTTTTTCTAAAGTTTTCAAGAACATTATGGCTATCTGCCTGGTTTGTAACATGTGTTCTCAGTTTTATTTGCTTTCTCATTTAAAATGAAATAAAACGAATAAACTTTAATCCTCTGGTATTTGACTTGCAAGACAGTTGGCATTTCCAATGTGTCTACGTCATTTGCAGCAGTGTCACATTGGAGCAGTGCTTTGGGGAATGAAAGGAAAAATATACTAGTACACCTACTTGGTAAGTTCCCTTATATAAATCAAAACTACAATATTGATTTTGAATTCCACATCTTATAATGGTGTTACAGAAGTTTTTGGAGCTATTAACGTATAATTTTATTTATAGGCGAGCATTCTTGGGAGCCTCATCTTTTGATAACTGAAATGAGTAATCAAAATGGTAAAAGTAGCTTTTGGTCAAATTCAGCCCTCATATACAAAGTTGCAGCTTTTAAATCAGTGGATGTTTTGTGCACATATCCCAAGACAGAATTTGGCCTAGAAACATTTCTAATGGAAGACTTGCAAAATATATGCGAATAGAATTTCAAGTGCATCTTCGCCTATTGAAATTGCAAGCTCTTTGAGACATGGCCTGCCTTTTTGTTATGTGTTTATACAGCACCTAGCACCATGGGGCTCTGGCCACTGGGCACTAGAGTAATAATAATAATAATAAATAATAAATAATTAATAAAATTTTGATTTTCAGGTTGCTGGTTGAAAAGGCTTATCTACATTGGGGATTTTTACACCAGTGTATAACGGCTTATGAGCCCTTCACTTTTATCAGGGGCAAATTCATATGCACACAAAATGTAAATGAGGAAAACATTAATGATCTGGGGGCACATATACTGACATTAGGGCTGAGAGCTTAACATATTGTGACGGAAGTACTAGATAGATGGAGTTAATCCTTTTGAATTGATAAACTCAGGAGGTTCTCAGGTTCATTCTGCTTTAGATAGCCTCCTGGAGATACAGCACAAAAGGCATAGCCCATGGGCTGGGGTGGCAAAGGTGGCTTTAAGCCATTAGTGGGGGCCTGGCATCAGTTAGTTAGCCACAGGGTGTTCTGTGCACTCAGAGCAGCCCAGAACTCCTCTTAACGCTCTGGTGCTATTCCCCCCCTCTCTCTTACCCCTAACATGCTTCCTCACACCTGATCTCTGTCCCACCATGCTCCCACACCAGGGCTGGCCAGGGGGACTAGTGTGGAAACAGAATCCCTCCCTAAATTTTGCATGCTTATTTTTAGCCTGTTCAAACTAGTCACGCCTCTTTGGCCTAGAAATTGATCTGGAATTCTTGTGAGACTTTCTCAAGAGATTTCATGCACTTCTTGGTTCTGGCAAGTTCAGAGGTACCGTGAGAATAGTCTTCCTTGCAGTATTTTGGTATTTCCTCTTCAGGTTCCAGCTGAAACCAGGAAGAGTAGAGACATAAACCAACCTTTTTCTAACCTCAGAAAGCTCATTTCAAGTTTTGGGCAAAAATTTGGGTCTCTTCTTCCAATCACTAATCAATAGTAATGGGCTCAATGCTTTAATACTCAGGCAAGATTACTTCTTGAAGCCAATAGGAGTCTAGCCTTAGTAAACAGTGCAAGACACTAATATTTAATGACATTCCATTTACAGGCAATGTTTTTCTATAGTAAGAGCAGCCAGTTAGATATAGTTGGGAGCATTTTATAAGAAGAAGTGTTATGTCCAGGACCTTTAGAATTTCACAGCACGTAAAGGTCTATCCTGATAGCAGGTATTGTTTGATTCTGTGATGTATGTCTCTCTTTGTATATGTAAAACATTATCATAACAAATTCCACTGTAGTAGATGTTGATTTCTGCTGCAGATTTTTTGTTTTCTCTGTCCTAATGCATAAGACAACACAGTTCACAAAAACACTAGTATATGTATCAACATTATTAAGTATTTTAAATGGCCTTTGTTTTTGACAATTGTACTGTAGTGTTCTTGATGCTTGATTAATTTGCTGCAGTTTGCATCTTATAAAGCAAAGGTCAGTGAGTGGTTTTCACAATCACTGCATTGCTTTTTAGCCTCTAAATGTACTGATATTATTACACTATTCTGTTTTTAGCTTTTGATCTGTTGGAAAAAGAAAAGCTTTGCCAGAAGTTGGGACTGGATGACGGGGGATGGAGGATCGCTCAAAATTGCCCTGTTCATTCCCTCTGAAGCATTTGGCACTGGCCACTATCAGAAAACAGGATACTGGGCTAGATGGACCATTGTTCTGATCTAGTATGGCCATTCTTATGTATGTTCT